ACCTTTCCATCAGAAACATTGGGAATACAAGACGCTAATTACGGCCTCGTATTTCGGTAGAGCGAACGCCTTTTTCATGCTCTCATTTCCTCGCATACTGTAACTACTACAAATGCTTGGTGATAATTGTGCCCTCCTATCCCATCTCATTGATAAACTATAGCTAATTTTAAAATCCAACATCGCTACGAGCATAAACACCAGTACAGAAAGAGCAGTTTTGCAAATTACTACTCTTACATGAAACGTAAAAAACCCTTCATGTACCAGCTGGCACCAGAGTATGTTTCACAATTAGGGACGGAGAAGGGACGTCTGAACACCGGCTAAGAGCACCCTTCCTGAAGAAATAAAGGTGGCCGAGATTTTCAAGTGTCGAAAAGAATGTTGGTCACGCCTGTCCTTATGGACTTGTATCTCCAGAGACTTACCTAATAAATAACTGATAAAAGTCGTTCAAAATCCATTCGATGTTACGCAAAAATTTTGCACATGAACATTTTAAACAATTACAACAAACTATCAAGTCGCGCAAAATCAAAGGCTAAACCAAATAAACTAACAAGACAAGACAAGAACTTTCATGGTCTATATTTTAATAAGTGAGAGGAAAAAAGACAAAACTACTTCTACGAGGTATAAAAACACCTAGAAAACACAGTTCAACCTCCACTAACGACCACCTCTCTACAACGACCACTTTTTTTGGCGAACAGTCCATACATTGACTGTTGTTTAAACCTCTCTACAATGGCCACTTCTATAGATTATTTCAAACTATAAAAGAGGTTGTTTTATTGAGGCACGTCGGAGCCAAGTCGGAGCTCATAAAAACACGTCCGCCCCCATCCACGTCCATCAACTTTTCTTCAATAATTCTACGGAAGTTTGTAAGATCAGTTAATTTTTAATTTTCCATTGTTTTTGTGTATGGTAATATATTATTCCACCGACCTTAATATATGCTAAAGAATTTAAAACAAAGGAAAAACAAAAATTAACTGAAATAAAAAATTAACCACAACATACACACTGTACATCAAAGTCTCAGTTCAAAAGAGCCACCCATGAACTGTCGATAAAACAACCCATGAGGCTCCAAAACCCTTCTTCTTGTTTTGCACGCTTCTGACAGCCACATAAGTTATAGTTACGAAAATTGTAACTCGTACAGGCCCTTGCATGCATCTATTAAAATACGCAAATCGCTTGGACGCCAGTCGGTAAAATATGTACAAATCTATAAACAATTTTTCGGATTTGTTAAAGTACACACTAAAGAAGTCGATCGTACACATTGAATTGTTTTGGTTCAGAGAATTAGCCAATCAATAAACACAATCTAATAATTAAATAGCCATTTCGTCTGTTAAAATCAATGGACATGGCACTGGTTAATCGAAAACAAAAACGGTTATTCAGATCACTCTGAGGCTACTGTTCACTAAGATATGTACAAAACAACTTTACAGTCCTTTCCCTTTGTTGTAATGGGATGGAATTGGTGAGTCCTGACTGGTACAAAATCTTTTACATCCAGTGACCACATTCAACCACTCACTGCCAATTATCATCCTTTGCTCTTCATACCTGGAGCCTGATTCTACCTATTATCAGGGAAAGCAAAAGCTTAGTAAATGGTTTGTATCTGTACATCAACAAGCCAATGAAAATAAACCTGGAAGGAAGAAGCGCGGGATTTCGGGGGGGTGACAATGCTGTGTATGCTCCAATAACCTTAATGAGAGCAACCGCTGATTCATAAAACTAAAGACGACATAAAAAGGTGGAGTATGATTGTCTGGGTGGCCGTCTGGGTGAGGGTGGTCCTAAAAGTAGTCTCCCTCGTAACCTGAGATCAGGCGTTATTTTTTTTATTTTTTGCTTCTTTGCTTCTTTGGCTCGAGGGGAAAAAAATAACGCCTGATACATTTATTTAACAAGCCGTCAACCGCCCCCTAATTTACATAATCTAACGTCTGCTTGACCTGTCATGTTATTAGCCAATAAGCGTTTACCATAAGGGAATCAAATTTGGCGCGAATAATGTCTCTTTTGAAATCAATTTTAGCTAGGGAACAGAAATTTTTTTTAAAAGTATGTCCATGTTCAGATGGCGCTTCCTAAAAAAAAAATTTAAATGTGTTGTTTTTGTGATGAAATACTGCTGGCTGGAGCTGCCGTACCTTTTTAACAGCTACAAATAATAAAGACTTTACTGGTTAAAGCTCGTTGACTTCGTACTGTACCGAAAGCAGTGGAAAAAAAAATTAGGCTAAAGCACCTGAAAGGTGTTGTGAAAACGAAGATCGCTCAGAATAATTCGCAGGTTTGTGAAGGACGAATTACAGTCAAACCAGGTCAAGATTCCATTCATGAATTATTTGAAAAGTGAACCCGTTTGTCGCTTCTGTAACTTGTAGCCGGTATCAAATTGCATTCAAATGATCGGTGAATTTTAAGTATACGATGAGATGGAAAATATTTCAATGGATGAAATTTCTATTTAGGCATCCTTCAAATTCAAGAAAACTCAGTCGGCAGAAATTTCATAACGAACTCGCGTGCGTATTCACTGCTCATTACGCAAGCAAAAATGCAGACTGAAATCAACAACAACTAACGGATGGCGGCATTTTGGCCAATCGGAACGGCGCAAATCATCCGTATTGTTTCCTATCCAATCAGAAAAAAGTCCAGATTCTGGCTTTTTTTTTACATGTGATCCGACAAACAAATGTATCATGCCATCTTCCCGTGAGAGACATAAAGGGATAATAGGGAGAGGGCATGATCTCAGGCTATCTCCCTCGCAGCCGCTTCGTCTCATCAAGTAACGCTCCTCTCCAACATAGGGGAGGAGGGTTGCGTGACGAGGCAAAAACGGCTGCGAGGGAGACTATCCTAAAAGGGAATGTTGTTGACAGTGACTGACGTTTCTACAATCTGTGAGCATGCGCTAATTCATTGCTTCCATAGGAGAGTCCATTCTCGTCCCCAGAGCCACTCGGCTTAATTTGTAATTTCCCTACCACGTGACCAAGAAACGACGGGCTCTGGGGACGAGAATGTAGGAGAGTCTATCTCATGTTTCTACAGAGACTACGCAACACGACGGCAGAAAGAAAAGGACGGCAAAGCGCTTCTTTGGGACAAACGAGACAGGGGTATAAGCTGTTTGTCGTTATAGGAGGGTGGAAATTATTGTCACGCTTGTCGCACAAGGTTTGCCTCCTTCTTTCCTCTGCCGTGCTTTTGCGTAAGTTCACCAGTGTCTTGAAGGGGACAGGAAGAAATATTCCTGACCCACTTCGCACGCCTCCGTGTCTTTCGTTTGTGGTTCGTAAAGTGAGAGACAAAGCCGCGCGAAAGCTGAACAGAGCTGGGAGATCAAACGAAAAAGACGATGAGGGAGGGGGCGAGGGGAAAAATTAAACCAAGACTATGCACTTTCGCTGACAGTACAGTGTGCAGTAAGGCAGGCAAAACATCCTAACATGCTGGTGTTGGCTTGTTGAGTTTCAGTCTTGATACTAACGCCTAGAGAATTGTGTTTCCTACAAACAATCAGGCGCGCGTTAATGCTCAAAGCAATAGACCCTTTTACCTATACGGCGGCCATATTGAATTGATTAGATTTAAGGAGTTTTATGGGATGCCAGGGGGAATGTGCACTATTCTATATACTCGCTCAGTTTTTACGCGCGCTTTTCGGGGCAATTTTTCTTAAAGTTTTCGTAGAGTAAGATTTTAATGGGACAACAGATCGTTGTGCCGTGTTTGGATGTAATAGAGACCTTTGGCATCAGCGTTTTCATGGGAAACCGCAAACTGCAGTTTGCAGTTATGCGTTTGCAGTTTCGCGTCGCCGGGATTTCAAATTTTAGCAAGACGTTCATTGTTTAGTTCCGCTATGTTGTTTTTCATCAAGTCGAAGTGCATCACTTTTATCGCCCAAAAAACAGGAATAATTCATCGATTCGAGTTACAAAATCCAACAAACACATCGCAGACGGATATAAAAAGATACTTCTTGCCTTTGAACTTTTAGAGGCCAAAAATATTTCCGTAAGTCACTTACCGTTCGTAGCCCTTCCTGCCGTTCAAACGTGAACGGCAAACTGCAAACGCGATCGCAACACCGTGGTTACTTGACATTTTGCAGTTTTCCATGAAAAACCTGATGCTAGTTTTCCGTCGGAGTGTCCATAATATTAATTGCTTCTTTCTTCTCTCGCTGTTTAGAATCAGTATCTGACTTCTTCTTCTTACTCCTTATTGGTTGTACTGGAAGCCTGTCCATGGGAGCTTTTCTCTTACTTGTTACTATTTCCCGATCGTAGCCCTTCTGAAAGAGCGTGGGATGAGGATGACTGTCAACTGGTCTTCCAAATTAAAATGATTTGAGCAAACTTAAGTATTTTTGTTTACCTTGAATCCCTTCGAAGAAACTGGTATGGTCTTTCTCCATATATTTCTCGGGAAAATGGCGATCATTATTACACCCAAACACGGCACAACGATCTTTTTTTACGATTACAATCTTATTCTAGTTAAAATTTTTGAAAAATTGCCCCGAAAAGCGCGCGTAAATACTGAGCGAATATCGAGGATCGGATCGTGCTAATGCCCCCTGGGATGCTGGCGGCTAACATTGGCATTACGCAGACATCAAGTGCAGGCCATACAAGACGTGAACTGTTGAAGGGTCGTTCCACAAATCATACGAGGTTAAATGCAGGCAATTTAAAATCACTCCTCTTTTTCCCCTCACCTCATTCCTCGTCGTGAACTCGTTTGACCGCTGCTTAGCTTTCGCTCGGCTTTGTATCTTTCTAACTTGAACCACAAACGAGAAAAAAAAACATTTGAAAAAACCGCCAGCAATGCAGGCTAACGTCTCCACATAGGTGTTCTGACAGTTCATCGTCACAAAAATTCGAGAAAATATATAGAAAATCATTTACTAAATCAGAGCCACATTTACAGGTAATGACTGACCTTAAGCTTCTCTGCGAGTCTCTGTTACATCCCGAAAACCGAATCTGGATAACTTTAAACAGGTCCTCGGAGTTTGTTAGGGCACAAGCGATTAATCCTTTCGCAGGACAACTTGCTATTAAATATGGATAAGTCTCTACGTCAATTAAAGAAAGGAGATCCCCAGATCGGATGTTGAACAGTTGAAGGCAACAAGCATGACCATAGGGAAGAGGAGAAAGAACGACACAGTTCTCGTCACTGACAAATTTTAAGTCCATAGTGCCACTGTCCGTTTGTAAGATGCCCCACAATTTCCCTGAGGATGGATCAAGAACGTAGACGGCACGACTTCTACCCCAAATTACAAGAAACTCTTCATTGGGCGAAAACCGCAGTCGAGCTGATCCACTAATAGTATTTGGTAACTCAAATTTCCAAAGTAAGGTGTCACCATTCCTCATATGAATAATTTTATAACGAGGGTAATCTTCTGAAATGGTGACCACCTTACATTTACTGTTAGACGCCAGAAGTCCCAAACCCGAAAAGGGTATCAATTTTTTGTTGTTTTGTGTGTCCAAAATGATCGCTTTCCTTCCAAAATTAAAAACAACGCGTTCGTCTGAAATAGGAAACATTCCTGTGACATTTCGATCGTACCGCCAACTTCTGATGCGCTCAGTCAAATCCGAATTCCACAGTTCAGCAGTGTCTTTGCTCGTTGTGAAAAGAACTCCTTCTCTCACGGCTACAAGATGACAGTCAATTTGACCAAACATATCACTAGCACTGACACCTTTTTTCTCTGCCTTGAGTTCTCCACTAGAGGAATCCCAAGCTGTTATTTGTGCATATCCGTTCTCACTTGTGACAAGATATAAAGTCTCACCATTAATCGAAAATACAATATTGCGCACAAAAGGCTTTCTGAAAGAATCTTTCTTTAGATCGATTTTTTTCAGGGATAGCACCTTGATAATATCGCTACCAGGATAACTCTGTAAGACAGATTGTTTGTTTAGTACAAACAAAAACGACGGTGAATCATAGGAGAAAAAGACGTCAGCTGAAGAAGCCAGCACCGAATCGCCTAATAAAAAAGCGTATGGGTCTTCAAAAACACATCGGTGAGGAGTAACTTCAAGTGAAACTTTACCATTATCTTCGTTACTCACTGTGTAACAAAGACGATCTTCACCTACACGAAAATTGCAGCCCTTAGTGTAAAAGTACCAACAATAAAGGCGGCGGCGATCTGGCGAGAACTTCATCATTCCACCTCCTTTTGACCCTTCAACTTTTGTTAGAGTTCTAAAATCATTTATCACATCAAGCAAACAAATGGCTCCAGTTGAATGAGAGACTGCTAATAGCCCTCCATCTTGAGACAAGGCAAAAGTCAACACATCCTCATCTCTGACGGTACGGGTTATCTCTCTGCCATTCAACAGACTCCACAGAATAAGACACTTTGCATCATTGGGACAGTCAGTGAGAATCTTGTCACCAGAAAGTGCACAAATGGAAAAGCAACAGTGGCTTTCACGATAAAGTTGAGTCAGTTCTCCGTTAAAAGAATATGCATGGCTTAAGACACCGGGTAAGATGACATCCTTAGAAGGGTGAAAGATTACGGAGTTGAAACGAGACAATAAAGCGCCACCACGCACCCGGGACGTCTTAAAAGCACTTTCATAATGCCAATCTCTGTAAAGTTTCTCATTAAATGCAGGACGTTTCCACAACAAATTGCCAGTATGAAGTGACCACAACTGAAGTGTTGCGTCACGACACTCGCAAACCATGTAGTCTGACTGTGGTGACACATCAAAACAAGCTACTTCTGATGAACAGTAAAATGTAGTTTGTACGGGTCCCTGAAGATCGTTCTTGTTCAAGTATTCAATGTATGATATGTTAGAATACTTTGCCTTTAAAAGGCTGGATGCCTTAGAGAACAGATCTGGTCCTCCTTCATTCAATACAGTTTGAAAGATCACATGAGGAAGTTCGTTCAGTTCTCTACTGTGCATCTTTAAAAGAAATAACAACGACTCAGCTACACTCTTCTTTTCCACACAAAACTTCATGATGCTTACAATATCTTCTGAGGCAACTGCGATATTAACAAGCAGCTTTGCATACACAATTTCTAAGTCGAGAACATAGTAATTTACAAGATCTTCAAAGCTGCATGGTCTTGTATCTTCATCCAACTCTAGAATATGTTGAACGCCATGTTGCAGTGCATACTTTGTAGTGTCGCTTAACTGCTCTGATCTATCAACACCTTTTCTCTTTACCTCATCCAATTCGCCGATGCAAAGATCGGAAAGAATGCGGTGACCTTCGTTTTCATCTACACTATGGTTGTGTTGCGAAAAGCGAATCTTGTCAGACAGCCAGTCCTTGAGTGACTTGTGAAAAAAATGTACACAGCCGTCTTGAACAGGTAAAAGCGACGAAATACAAGTAATGGCCTTGCTCACTTTACGTTGAAAAGCTGACGAAATTTTGCCCGGGAACAACAGTTTCGAAACAAACCCTACTGGCAGCGGTTCCCTCGCTGCCGTAATCGCACTAAGGAAATCCAGAAACTGGTCTTCAGTAATCTTCAGTTCTTTACAAAGTTCGCTCTCCAGACGTGTAAAATAAGACTGGAAAATAGACGAAATACCCGAGGGTACGGTGCAGTTAAGCTCCTCCAAGGTAAGAAATGACAAATCATTCTCAGTTATGAAATCTGTTAGAAGCTGGGCCCATAAAATCAATCCTTCTGACTTCTGCGCAAGCTCCTGAAAAATAACCTCATGATTCTCACTTTGCAACTTACAGCTCAACTGTTTTTCAAACAAAAAGCGAATGTCTTTCAAGTTTTCTTCATCACTGGGTTCAAGCAGAAGGGGTTGCAGACCTTTTAAGCTGTCGCAAATATTAATCTCTGGTCTTGTTGTCACGAGAAATCGAATCCAAAGCGGGAGTTTGTTAAAGCATTTGGCAATCACATCAAGCAACTCATTGCGTCCTTGGTATTCACTTTCATCCAAAGCATCAATTATCACAAGACAGGTGGAATTGGGGACGGTTAGTCTGCTCAGTGGTTCTTCGAACAGCAACTCAAACAGATCCCCCACTTCCATGTCATTGATCTCCACACCCAAGTTTCTAGACAGTTGTTTTACAAGAGCTTTCTTGTAGTCTGGCAGAGAATGTGACAGCTGATAGGCTAAAGATTGTAGCATCACCTTGGGGTTCCTGTGGCGCACCCTGTCATGTTGGCAAAAATGGCTCCCAGACAATTTACCCTCTTCGAGCATCCTTTTGCTCAACTCGGCTGCAATAACAGATTTCCCCATGCCTGCGTTTCCAACGATAACCATCACACGATGAGGAGAGTTGCCGTCTTCTAACCAATCATTGACTTTGGTGAAGACAGACTTCCGGGTTCCCTCTAAATATCTTTCTGAATGGTATCTAATAATGTTTTCCGTGTCAACCTTTGCAAGTTTCCTTAGGATATCTTCCTCCTGGTCCGTGTTGACTTGAGCTTGACGTATTTCTGTAACGACTTGGTGTACTTCTTCCAACTTTAACGTGTTTTCCTTCAGTTGTGTTTTGATGTCAATTTCACAGTCAGCCCACTCACGTAACGCGTCAAGATAATCTTCCTCTCCGCCTCGCTCTGCCTTCAGTCGGTCAACTTCTGATTGCTGTAACCCAAGAGCTACAAGAACAGCACTGATTTCCCGCCACAGAACAGAGAGGGAATGAGTGTCAACTCCAGTACTGGCCACATGACCATACAACACGTTACGGAAATACTTGACACGAGCAAGATTCGCCTCGTGAGAGTTGTCACTAGCGGGTGGTTTAGTGTGCCATCCTGTGGGGGGAGGAGCCAGTCCACAAATGTTGGTCAGAAGAAGAAATAAAAGAGTGATGTCAAACGTGTTGGAGTCTGGCATGGCTCCTCCAGGCGGGAAGAGTTTGTCCCACTGATGACCATTTAGAACTCTTCGCCGCTTGAGGTTGTTGAGAGTGGAATAACTGGCGTTGAGATCAGCAGCTAAATTAGCTGGAGGATGATGATAATTGAAAACATTTCTTAGAACTGTTGTTCCACCATCTATAAGAAGCCTGCTCAGCTTGGACCCATTTGTCTTTTCTTCAGAGCTGGCCAGGGGTGATGGTGCTGCAGCTGCCATTCTAATCCATGGTGCTTGTTCATTCAAATGTGCTATTCAATCAGCTGATTCAGTTCTTAGATTCAAAATCTTCATCTTCTAGTTGTCATTTTTGTATAGCTGTAGGTAAATAAAAAATTGTTCACTGTAAATACCAGTTCACCTACAAGTCCATATCTGTAGTTAAGAAAAAAACTTAAAAGTGTTTGTTGAACCGTGTATCTGATGAATGCAGCAAAAACATAGTGCCAATAAGGTTTTATTCAAAATTACACAAGCGCAGTGAAGAGAAAAGGTACAGAGCTACGTTTAGCATTCAAATAGATTTCTAGGTGAAAGGAAATAAAATTATTGTTAACACAGTATGCGCACATGCTTTTTAAAAGAAATGGTAGTTTACCCTAAATGACCTAATAGACACCCAATCCCAAATAAACGCCTCTTGTCTAATAAACACTCCCTCTAAGTTGTTAAAATTGTATTAGATGCCCCTCTCTCATAGATGCCCCCTTTCTAATAAATGCCCCCAATGAGGATAACTCAAAAATACTGAGAATTAGCGAAAAGGAGCAAAATCATTCAATTCATTCAGTTTCTTGCTTGATTAACAAGGCATTGCACATTTCATCTTGCTCAATGTCAAGTTCAAAATAAGGACAGACTAACGATGGCAGCACAATAATCCTGAGTGAGGATTCTGACATTGCTGTTGGGGTTTGAAAGAGCGATATGAATCTCTAAAGGGCTTAGACGTATCAATAATATTGATGGAGTGGATATGTTACAGGTCAAAATTAAATTCTGGTTACACTTTTTTAATCTAGGTTGATTCTCAATCCCATTGTCTCTTAGCCCTAATTTACAAATAAATAGGGCTAGGAGACAAAGGAAACTGACAATCAACCCAGCTTAAGAAATTTTAACTGGAATTTAATTTTGACAAGTTACAGATATTCTCCTATTTTTAAACTCTCTTGATATTATTACCAAAAGCATATTAGTTTCGTTGAGCTTGTTCCAGTGATGAGAATAAACGCCACTCTCCCTTTATATGCGTCCTACATCATTGTATCTATTAAAGACCCCTGCTTAGATCCCTAAAATTAAAAAGACGCCCCAGGTGTCTGTAAGGTCATTTACGGTACAGGTTTATACAAGGGTAAAGCATAACAATAACCAAGAGTCTGGGACCCAGGAGATTTTTGAGGGTTCTAATTTTTGCAGCTTTTCCAGCGATCTGCGCAAATAAGTTCCCGCAAACATTTTTCCCACAAAAATTAACTCCAGAGTAAATATTCTCTAACTTAAATTCACTTCACAAGACTGAGAAGACTGAGAAATCCTGTCTACAGGTTCAATCATAACTTGTCTCTTTCATTCAGAAACAAAGAAATATTGGTTTATTGCTTGAAAATATGTATTTCTATTGCACTTACTCAATAAGGTAAAATAGAATAGCAAATGAAAATCAGGCATTTTATTGCTGACATGTGGGTCTAATGTCACATGCTAGCTGCATTTTACCATTTCTCTATGCCAACTTATTGATTGCCTCAGACTCAATCACCATGCTATGATTTATGAGATGCAAACATTAAAAACAAATTATGTTATGGTTCGATTCTTGACCCTTTGAATGTAACCTTGGAAAACAGAGGGCTTGGCCTGTGGAACTTGCAGAGCCCTGGAACTTGGCGAGGGATGTGAAATGTTAGATTCTTGAGGTACATTTCAAGGACACAAATGACTTGTGTTAATGCAGTATAAAGAAAAATGGACTGTCACTTTGAAAGAAAACAGCCTGAAAGCCATGTTTTCCAGATAATTACGTGGACAAGATTATCTGATTCTATACATATATCACAAATTGCTGTAAAGAGCACGGCTACCCACTTGNTTATTGATTGCCTCAGACTCAATCACCATGCTATGATTTATGAGATGCAAACATTAAAAACAAATTATGTTATGGTTCGATTCTTGACCCTTTGAATGTAACCTTGGAAAACAGAGGGCTTGGCCTGTGGAACTTGCAGAGCCCTGGAACTTGGCGAGGGATGTGAAATGTTAGATTCTTGAGGTACATTTCAAGGACACAAATGACTTGTGTTAATGCAGTATAAAGAAAAATGGACTGTCACTTTGAAAGAAAACAGCCTGAAAGCCATGTTTTCCAGATAATTACGTGGACAAGATTATCTGATTCTATACATATATCACAAATTGCTGTAAAGAGCACGGCTACCCACTTGCAACTCATTATCATTATTAAAAATTAATGAAATTTCACTCACTTTTGACATACCACCAAAGTTTACAAGTAATGGTCCAGTTGGCATGGTGGAGATGGCTCTAAAAATAAATTATACAAAAACAGTCATCAACACAGGTGAATTTTTTTTGTCTCAGTCCAACGCAGTCACACTGCCAACACTGCTGCCTGGAAACGTCAGGTTGCACTCACATATTAGAGAAATATACTGCATATTGTAAAGCACAGATTTTAAGCAGTGGTATTTAAGCCAATCATGAGAAACAGCAAAATATTACATACTGAATGAACAATAATAAATATTAGTACATGTATATACACACTCAGTGATCTTGGTGATTTAAGCAATCTGATTGATTCGCTATCTCGGACTATTCAACAATATTCACCTCCTAGCGAGTGGATAATGTGTGAGCTCGGTGTTTTTCCCATTTTTTTAGAGAATGATCTTTTAAAAGTAGACAAAACCCTAGGGCTGAATTTTTTTAAGGCAAGAAGAGACTTGGAAGGATTCAATACGTCGGCGCTTTTCAGTTTACTGTAGCTGAGTTTTGTGCTTGATGGACTGTTTACAACTCCCGTGTATTCGCGTAGAAGAAGCCGTTTCGTGAATTCAGCGTTTTCTAACAAGAAAATTTGGCTCAAAAATCGAAGTTTATACATAACAAACAAATTTAAAAGGAAATGTTTGCAAAAATTCTACGTTTCAAGTAAACAGGAAAAAGAATGATACATGAAGACGACGTCTTACCTTGAGCAACCAAGCCACCATTTTGGTCAGCACTTCATGCGAAGAACGACAAAACAAAACCTTTTGGCTATAAACTTGGTGAGTCAACAGAAAACAACAAAGCTCTACTTTTCTTCTCAGGTAAGGAAACAGTTCAAACTTTTAGTGGTTACACTACCATTACACTGTTATTTGCGAACTGATAAACTTGTAAACTTGTTTAAAAGTTGCTTTAGTTTTAATTTTTTCCTTTTTTACCCATTGTAAATATAATAGGATATGGTTGTTAATTTGTAAATATTTTTCAATAATGACTGTAAAGCGCCTTGAACATAGGATAAGAGCGCTATAGAAATAAAGTTATTATTATTATTATTAGTATATAGCCATGCATGTTTGAAAATTCTGCAAAGATCTATTTTTAAACTTACGCGTGATTTGATCTGTCAATCAAATCGTACTTTTTAATGGTTTCCTCTCTGATTTTGTTGAGATCACTTCGTGTGTATATACTAAAACAATTATTCTTTTCAATCTCATTGAATAGTGGCTTTGGGAATATTTATCTCGCCGCTTTCACGGCTTGGTAAATATTTAGCCACTATTCACCTCGATTTCAAAGAATAATTGTTAATTAGTACCAGCGTTTCATATTATGATCACCAAGTTTTCATTTTGTATTTTTTCACATTGTTCTCTTAAAGTCTGTTGCTATTGTTCTTTTGCTTTTGTTTTACAACAAGCTGTCTGTGGAGGAGGGGGAATCATTGCATGACAAGTGCATGTTTAAAACAAGAAATGGCAAACTGACAAAATGGTGAGATCACAAAAGAGTGAAATTAAGGTGACTCGACCCAGTTTTTTTGGGGGGGTACCATCCTACTTTGAAGCTCTCTGGTATCCCCACCTTTACTTTTATCGTAAGTCTAATACATAGAATGGATAACATATAGATCAATCTACAATATAACATAAAATTTTTGGCGATGGGAGTAAATGTCACGTGGTTATAATGGCATGCCCCTTTGAGGTCTGAGTCGAAAATCTGCTGTTGCCGGCATTTTTTCGTGAAAATCTCTCGGCTACACATAGTGCGCATTAATGCCTTACGCTGAACAGAGTTTCACCAAAATCGTAAAGACCCAATTCGAGAAATTCAGCGGTTTCCAAATTTAGGTCATAATTTATGCGAAAATGATAAGCAAACTTTACACGGATTATATCTAATAAACTATGAGATTCATCTCTTTATTTTGGGCATCGTTATAACAGATGGGTCCTTGCAAGTCAGCAAAACGCTTTAGGGCCTTGTAAATGCGCGCGATTTCGAGCAAAGCAAACATATAGAAATTATAGTTTTCGCTATTTGTTGACGTTTGTCAGCGTTTAAGAGTCCTTCTCACGAAAAAAGCATTTTCTTAAAAATTCGTAGTTTTTTTTCCTTCAAATTTTTTCAGGGCCACAATTGATTAACTAACTACCCGGACTCTGAATTTCATGGTCATTGAAAAACTGTGACATTATCTTCTATAAGCCCAAACTTGAGTAAACATTGAAGATTTTTAGCGTTTTGGCTGAGTTTGTGCTTTGGGAGTTGTCTATTGTTTCTAGTCTGTCATTATACAGCATTCTTGTTCAGCACGCGTGCAATGACCACGCTTGGCTGACTTCCGAATGCTCACCGAGATATTCCCGTCACGAGTTGGTTTAATTATTGGCTTGCATTAAACCTATGAAAAAATGATATTTTTTTAATAGTAAGTAGATTTAGTGTGTAGCACTTCTTGATTTTTTTGCAAAGGCACAAGAAGCACGAGAATTGATTAAAAATTGTGACTTAAACCTCTATGTATCACGCGATGGCCTGTCTCACTGTACCAAAATTATTATATCTCGGTGAGCATTCGGAAGTCAGCCAAGCGCGGTCATTGCACGCGTGCTGAACAAGAATGCTGTATAATGACAGACTAGAAACAATAGACAACTCCCAAAGCACAAACTCAGCCAAAACGCTAAAAA